TGTCCACTCTTGATTTTTACTTGAACAGCTATATAAAGCTGAATGATAGGGTTTGAGAAGTGTTGAGTAGCTTATTAAAGCATGTAACTCTTGTCTAACTCTAGATGTACCAGAAACCCTTTGGTTTTGAAAGTGAAGAAAAAAACAACAACAACCCAGACTCGCTGGAAAAATGTACCTGAGGCGACATTTATGTAAAATGATTACCTTGCTTCTTGCATGTTTTGCGACACTTTCAAAGTGAAATGTCCAGCGAGTGAGTTACCGAGCAAGTTTACTATGTCAGAAAACCATACAGAATCTGGTTATGTGCGTCAAAATGTAGCAGTTTACAAATCATGCACTAAAGTGTTTTGAGATCACAACATAGTATTGTGCAATGAACTGTCATTTAAAATCGGCCCCAGCATTGATGTCACTTTAGCTATGTCCACTCTTGATTTTTACTTGAACAGCTATATAAAGCTGAATGGTAGGGTTTGAGAAGTGTTGAGTAGCTTATTAAAGCATGTAACTCTTGTCTAACTCTAGATGTACTAGAAACCCTTTGGTTTTGAAAGTGAAGAAAAAAACAACAACAACCCAGACTCGCTGGAAAAATGTACCTGAGGCGACATTTATGTAAACTGATTACCTTGCTTCTTGCATGTTTTGCGACACTTTCAAAGTGAAATGTCCAGCGAGTGAGTTACCGAGCAAGTTTACTATGTCAGAAAACCATACAGAATCTGGTTTTGTGCGTCAAAATGTAGCAGTTTACAAATCATGCACTAAAGTGTTTTGAGATCACAACATAGTATTGTACAATGAACTGTCATTTAAAATCGGCCCTATCAAGGAACTGTGGTCCCCCCCCCCACCCCACCACCACCTGGACCACAGTTTGAAAACCCCTGCTTTAAGTGCAGATATTGATTATATAATTATGAAATTATATAAGTTATTTTACAAATCACAAATAATGATCTTTGATATAATAATAATGAGTATACTAACACCCAATACAACTAAATTGAAACTTATTAAAAAACAGTGGAAAAAAAGCTGTATATAACAAAATATTTATATTTCTAAAAAGCTAAATTAAACGTTAAGATCATACCGTACCTTCCACTATCAGCCAAGCGTTATTGGACTTGATTCCGGCCACAGCCGCATAGATGCCTTTATCCACCTGCATACAATCCTTCACCAGCAGCCTGTGGATAAGTTTGTCTTCGGACACCGTGATGTCATATTTGTCTCCCTGTTCTAATCGATTGTTCTTTCCAACCCACATGATTTTAGATAAGGGTTTAGAGAGAACACACTCAAAAATGGCATCCTCCCTCTCCATGGCTTTCACTTCCTTTAACTTGACCAGAAAGTCCACCATTGGAACTGCGAGAAAGTGCTCTTGGTTACTTTGAGTAGTCATCTGTTAATCGGGTAACACTTTAGTATAGGACCCAATTCTCACTATTAACTAGTTGCTTATTAGCATACCTATTATTAACATGTTGGCTGTTTATTAGTAGTACTTATAAAGCACATATTCTGCATGACCATATTTTAAATTCCTAATTCTACCCAATACCTAAACTTAACAACTACCTTACTAACTATCAATAAGCAGCAAATTATGAGTTTATTGAGGCAAAAGTTATAGTTTATGGTTTCTTAATAGTGAGAATCGGACCTTAAAATAAATTGTGAACTTATACTGCATCATGAGCTAGGTAAGGTTGACTTTAACTTACGTTTAAATTCAGTGGAGAACACACTGACGTCTTCTACATCTAACTGGTAAAGGCCAGCATCATCTGGGACAAGGTCCCTAATTGTGAAGATGTATTTCTTGCCTACTTGATTCAGGTTGTGCTTCATTTCCATCTCGAGATCTTGAGAATATGGAATTATCTCACCATCCTGAGGGACACACCAAAAGCTCACAGGCCAGAAGCTTGCACTGAAACCTGAGCTCCGATGCATTATAATAACCAGTCAATTTACCTTGTAGATGAAAATTCTGCTGCTGGCATCCAGAAGGTTAAGATCAAGTTCAAAAGAAGCTGATCCATCAGGATTCACATCGATGTGTTTGAGGTTAGAAATGCTCTTGACGAACTGTGAGTAAAAATATAATTACAATATAATTTCACATTGAAAATGTATCTAAAAAACAAACCAAACAAAGAAACAAATCAAAACCGTACCTCTGCTTGTTCTTGCTCTCTCTCTCTTTTCATCTCATTCAGTTTCTTCAACATCCAGCGGAAGTCAGTCACCCCATATTCGGCACAGATGCGCTCATAATCTTTCTTATCGGCGCTCAGCAAAATCTCCCAGAACTTTGGGTCAATTTCTCCATCTTTCCTTGCTTCGGTTTTAGGACGAACCTTACTGCAGGGTTGAGAGGCAATTCACAGTTGATTAAAGGAAAAGGTATGGCTATAGGATATGGGATATATTTTGGGAAAGGGTTGAAAAGGATATCAAACTTTTAAACCTAATTTCTTACAATATTTTTTTCTACCACTGAACTTTATTAAAGCTTTGGGGGACCACGTCTCCCTATCTCCTCAAAACAGTTCATATCTTAGAATAAAAACAAAGATGCAGTACTGTTAATGCATTAGTCACAGAGATTGCCTAAAATAACTTTGTCTATATTTACAGCATAAGATTTACAGCACCTTTTCCTTTTCAGGACAGCCTTGAGCTCATTTGGATCAGTTGCAGCTGAAAAATGCATGAGTGAAAAATCAAACCACTGATTTATAAAGCTGCAGACAGCACATACAGTACCACACTTGATAATACTCACTGGACTTCTGGTTTGCTTTGTTCTTCTTGAATCCCACTAAATAGAAAATGCCACATTGCAAATGATTGGGGTCATGAATTGCTGTGTTAGGAATGGAAACATCTCAATTTTCATACCTTCAATGACGTTCAGCATAACAGTGACCATAGCCTTTCCAAATTCGTTAGTAGCAAAACATTTGTAGGTGTCTGCTTGGTCTGGAGAAATATTTGGCATCTAGAAAAGTGCAGAGAGTCTAACTAGGAATATCCATTCAGTAATATAATTTGTGGGATGAAACAGAAAGTCAGCTCACCTCAATAGTGTGTTCGCCAGAATTAGGGTCAAACTTGGTTTGATATTTCTGTGGATCTGAAATATCACCATTGTTCCTGGCCCATGTTACATTAGGGACGGGATCACCTACTACAATGGCCTTGAAAATAGCCAGTTTACCTGCAAGTTTACAAAAATCTCTCAATTTTGTTCACTGAAAATGTATGTGGCAGCTATTGGTGTATGCAATTAATTTGATTAGTTAGTTAATATATCATGTTATTAATTAAAGAATGTTGTGTGTGTGTGTATAAAAACATATGTAAGCAAGGACAATAGCAGCATACCTTCTTGAATGGTGAGAGCTATAGGTTTGCGGATAAAATCCGGATGGCTCTTTCCCTCAGGGATTTCGTCTATGAACTGTGTGATCATGACTCCTGGGACTTTGGATTTCTTTTTGATGCCCACTAATGACACAGAATGTGTAAATATTAATACAGTGACTTTTTATCAAAAATAATTTGTTACATTTCATTTTCACTAGTATAAAATGTATCTGTAAACCTGGTTTAATTTATTATTGATTTAAATAAGATTAACCTGGAATTCATTTATTAAAAATATGCATTAATGAAACCATTGAGACGTTACCTTGCCCTGTTGCGGTCTGATCAGACACTTCTGATTTCTTCCACATTTTGATTTCCTCTGGTTTGGCTTTAAAGCAGTTTTGTCTGCACACAGAAACATATTGCAGATAAAATGTTTATTTACAGAAAGAATGACATTTGAGTTTTTTGATCATTTAAATTATAGTGGATGATGGTAACTTAATGAGGAAAACAATATTTTGGTGATTTTAGTCTGTATAGCTTTTTTATTTATTTTATGTTAATTTCTTTCATGACTGTAAATAATGTACATTCATAACCTGTAGGGGTAATCATCAGGGCTGGTAGTGCTAAATTAGGGTCATTTATCAAACTCAAGCGGTGAAAGATTTGTACCTTTGTTTATTTAGCAAGTAAACCATTTCTGATGACGGATGATACATTGTCTGTAAATTTGCATTTCCGAATAAACGCCATGCTCATACTGACCATTGATAGATAGGGATCTGCCTGGTGACAAGAAATCGGTCTCTACACTGAAAGTATGACCTGTAATTTTTGAAACAGTGCCACTGTCATACCAGAAATTGCTTTGCGGGATAATAGCGAGGCTTCGCTGAAGAAATTGTTGAGGCGGAGTCAACGTAAAGGTTAATTGAAGGTTTTTTTCCTTTTTCGGAAACCATCAGTCCACAGAATAAGACCATTTGTGGTCACGGGAAATATTATTCTACAACTTGGAGTGTTTCACACATGCTATAAGTAGATTTTTGCGTCTCCTTTTTTGAACCTGCAGTATGATTTGATAAACATTAATCGGATCTGAGCAAAAACACATTTTGCAAATCATTTTTAACATACGATGAAGTGTTTATACATATTTAATATTATAAATGTCGAGAAGTTGCTGGCCTTGATGCTTCAGACCACAAGTGCTTGTGAAATTCATTTAAATATATGCAAAGTGCCCTCTGTAAGATTTCTAAGTGATTGTATGCCTTTCAAACTTGACCATGTTCATCAAGCAGGTAAACAAGGTGCTAATCTTAGTATCATAACCTCACAACATGCCGACTGCCCTCCGTGACTCCCCTAATCAAATGTTCTCAGTCTGTAAATCATTCACCTTGCATTTCTAGAGACTATTAAGATCACTTGATCACCAGGTCAAAGCATCACTTAGAAGAATTACAGCTGATGACAATGTTTTTCTGGCAACTTCAATGTAGTTAAACCCCTGCTGTGCAGATGATTCATTGAAATATCATCCGTCTCTTGAACAGATTCCAAATGCTGTCCGACGGGGCCGATCTCAGCAGGACTCAAGAGCGGTCATGAGTTTGGTCAGGCAGTGTATGGTATGTTCTTTTAACAGTCTTCTCAAAGGGAATTCAAACTATCCCTGTTGATGTCAGACATTTTTTAACAAGGATTTGAGCCAGGTGACAGAAAGTGACATTGAGTTAAAGAGGAGCCCCGTCTGTCTCCGATCATTTGCCTTGTCGTGTATGATGGGAGCAGTCAGCAGGTGTCACTCATATTTTGTCCTCAAGCATTAAATGGAGATCAACACATATCACTGCGGTATGCAATGTTGACATGTTTTGAGTGATCTCTAGACTCTCACTTCCTTTGAAACATAGGTCAGGAAACAAATGAGATGTTTCCCATGGAACGCTTTAAGCAAGGTCGAAATGTCATTTCAGTACTGAGAACTGTCATTATTTAAAAGATTTTCTCTCATATGCACAGTGCACTATAAAAAATGGTTTTTCGAGGTTGTAACTTAACATAAGACAACATTTAACATGAAAATACTATTTCTACCTAAATATTCTGTTTGATTCGGTGTGTTACTTGCTGTTTCTTTGTAATTATTTGTTAAATTTAGTAAGTGTTTCAAAATAAATACACCAATTTTTGTTCTCGGTGTAGAATGCAGTCAAAAAGTTTACAAAACTTCCCCAATTTTTTGTATGTTGCGGGTAAACTGTGTTTATTTCAAGTTGATCTCATTCTGAAGGAAATGTTTTTTTGACAAAGTCAGGTGATGACAAGGAACTGGCTATGTATCATAGATTTTTATAATAAATCTCTCAAATTCCTATTATTCCTTTAAAATATCTGTTGGCTAAAAATGGTTACATAAAACATTGATCTACTGCTATAGTTCAGTTTCAAGAATCTTATATGTTGAACTAGTACTCTAAATGGCCTTTGACCTATCAGGAATATCTAATAAAGATATATTAGGATTTTGATTTATACATCTTAAGTAATCTGAAATGGCCTGGTGTACATGTGTGTGACATTATAGGGTTCCCCAGACTGGCCTTTTTAGGCTTGTACCAGGTTACATAGTCACTTGATAGGTCACATGTCACATATAAACATTTCATCGTAAATGTCATGATGTTCTGATGAATCACTAAGCACCTTGTACATTTCCTCAACAGTGGAAAACATTTTTTTAGAGGTGCCCTTTCTAAAGAAAATACATGTTGAAAGATAGTGGCAGCTCTTAAAAATCTCTCAATTCTTCCATGAATCACAAAGCTCTCGCATTATGAAGTGAATATTGTATTTATTTTGTAGCAAGTGAATACTGTTTATCTTGTTAATAAAGTGTTAATCTTTGGTTTGTCAGATATACACGGTCAGACATTTGGCCCCTGAGTCAACAGGTACGCAGGCGCTGCTCTTTTCTTGGCTCAGGAAGTGTGGTTTAAAGCGAGCCTGTGGTACACTGGCTGAGATCAGATGCCTGATGCAAAGTGGGGTTCGTTTTTATGGGCCACGTGGACCTCCAAGCATGCTAATGTTAAACCCGGACACCTGCCACACATGTTCTTGACTTTGGCAGGAACATTAAAGCTTTTAAAGCAAAGCTCACTGTATAGAGATCAAGCACCAAAGGTACTAGAACACTTGACAATGGCTGTGTTCCAAAACGTGAGCTGACTACGTAGGCTGTTTCAAAAGCATCATTATGGTGCCTAGGATACCTTTTGTTTGGCTAAATTCTAAGGCAGCCTCGCATGGACAAACCCATGATGCATTGCAGTAAGCTCAGTGAAAAAATCTATTGAAGATAACGGACAAAGCAGTCAATTAAATATGGACTGGTTTACTCAGTATTGTGTTTATGGTTATTAACATAACAACACTATATTTAAATCAACTGTAAGTCAGATCTCCCATGCATGTTGTGGGAAGTGCTATTTGTACAATGCTGCCAAAGTAGAGCGATCCAAAACGGTCACTTTTGAGGTTCCATTTCAGTTAGGAGGATGCTGCCTTAAGAGACCGCAAACCAGCTCACTGAGTTTGGGAACAGAGCCAGCATGTCTCAGCTGATTGTGTGTGGATCAAATAGGACTAAAACTGTAAAATGCTTTGGAGGAGGGGAAAATATCTAACGACTTTGAACTCCAAAATGAGTCAGTTTGGATCCTCTTAGCAACTAAATCCTCTGTCTTTTTTCTGGATAATACAGAAAGATTGTTATTTAATTTTTTTATTAAACTAAAGTCATTGAGCAAAGACATCTTCAACTGCAGCAAGTACAATTCGCAATAATAGTCTTTGACAGCTAATAGTTTTTTTTTTTTTTTAGAATTATACTCTCTTTATAATTTGTTTAATAATTAGGGCTATCAGCTGGATTCAAATTTTAATTGAATTGATTGCATTATTGCAGGCTGATTAATTAATTACAATGAACCAAACATGTAAGTATTTGCCCCAAACAATAAGAAGACATTACTGTGGCAGATAACAAATTATTAAACAGACGTTGCAGAAAGTGATATTTCAAAATGATTGCAAATCATTGAGCCATCCACTTGTTTAAAACTTTTTATTTGTATAATTAATTGTGCTAAATTAACCCATTAATTCAAAAGCTCTAATAGTATTTATTTAGGAGTTTAATGATTATTTAAATGTATTGAACTTTGTGTTTCACATAAACTTAAGTCATTAACCAACAACCATTTGAGGAGTTTATAGGATACAACAGTCCCGACAATCCAAAATCAATGAGGATGTACCAGAGCATGTGCAGGAAAATGTTTTGGAGCTTAGTAAAAGGTTAAACACACATCCAGTTGTCTCCTGAGGATGACATACGTCTATGTTTTGTCTGAACAGTACAGCGCGATTCATCTCGGAGCTAACAAATCAAAGATTAGTACCAAACAAATCTTTGACACATAAACGGTTGATTAAGATAAACAAACCCAGCGTCAGCAAAATAAAATTGATCTACTACTGTGCAAATCCACACAAAGTAATACATTTTACTTCACCATGTTTAGATTTAATGTTTTGTTTACTTTGTGATGAAGTTAAAGAAGTTTACTTGTAGGCTGATGACTGAGAATGCAAATGGTAGAGTTTAAACTTGATTTTTGAGAGTTTAAAGACCAAAGCAGACTAAGATATTGACCAGATGTCAAAAGCATAATTATTTTCCACAAGGTCCAGGGCAACAGTAGATTGGCAATTAACTTACCAAGAGCCAAGTGAACTCCTCTCTCTAAGCTCTGCTTAATAGTGTGATAGTCCGGTACGGTGTCTCAAAAAGCTAATAAAACCCTTCAAGGAATTTAATAGCAATGCCCCTCTATCACAATCTTAACTACCCAGTAGCTGCCAGGGAGTCATCAGGTTTGGTGACGTGGTTCCCCCTACAGGGAGGGTAGGGAAATGATACAGGAGTTTGGCAGCAATGAAATGTTAATTTTATCTTGTGGTAATTGAAGAAGACACATTCATATTTACCTGAGTGACAGCAAAATTAAATATTTCATGCTTAGATTACTAAAAAGGGGATGGCAAATAACCGTGACTGGTAAGTAACCCTCGCAAAAACATGATTAATTGAAGGCTACAAGAAGGCTGTTTTGTTTTTTCTTGAAATAAAAGATAAGACTGTTTGGGACAGTTAAGCAAACCTTTTTATATCTTTCTAATTGGGCATTCGAGTTTGTTGTTGCACGTTAATCTAGTACATATAGTTTCAGTTTTACGTGTGTATTTACTAATACACAGTGTTGGGTGTAATGCATTAGTAATTCATTACTGTAATTTAATGATTTTTCCCTTGAAAAAGTAAAGGATTACTTTCAATTACTTAAATGTTCTGTAATTTGATTACAGTAACTTCTGATGTCATTTCTTTAAATACTGTATAGACTATAAAACAATAGTGGATTAACATCATAATTTAACATCTAACGGGAACATGTATGGGGTTTTTATGTAAACTTCTCCCTTTAAATACTTTGCTCAGTTCAAGAATTCAAGAAGATAAGAAAGTAATGCAATAATTTTTAGAGAACGTAATTAGTACAGTAATCTACACTGAAAAACGTATTCATTGAATTTACTAAGTAGTTGAATTTACTAAGTTAGTTGACCAACTTGCAGCAAATTTGTTTATTTAAATGTAGCTAAAATAAATGTATTGCAACCACTTACCTTAAAAATGTAGTAGATTCAATGAATCATTTACGCTGTTGAAGAGCTAAATAGCTTGTAATTAATTACTTGTTTTTAGATAGATGCAGCTAAAATACCTGTGAAAAATCGATTCCTTCATATTAACATGATTCATTGCACCATTTTTTTATCATCTCTTTGTTGTCTGTGTTGTCACAGTACGTAATTATGGAAGTGATATCAGGTGTTTGAATTAAGTTAAATCACTTCTGTGCTGTAACATGGAATATTTATCCCCTAAATTAAACTTTTTTGCTCATTTGCTACATCAAACAATGACTCAGCGATGAGTCAACTGATTAAAATAAAGTGTAAACTGTTTCCAGGCATGGCAGGGTGGCATAGATGTTTTTCTTCAAACCAGCAATCTTTAATCATATCCTTCAATCACAGACGACTCGCTTTAACCAGTCGGTGGTTTCATAACAGCGGGGTTAGCCAATGTTTTGTGCCCTTCAAGGTCATTGCCGACAGACTCTTGCTTTAAGTTTGTTTTTAACTGCCACTTTGGAGTCTCTCAGTGCCGGCAATTATAATGGCTGACATCCAAAAGGTTCATTTTATAATTTCATGGGAAGGAAGAGGTGCAATAAGTTCTTCTTTAAGTACCTGCAATAAATCAGATTTGCTGATGTCCAAGTTTCAGCAGAGTAGATTATGGTTTACATTTGGATGTAGCATATCAATCACTGCAGAAAATTCGATATATTAATTTCATTAAGCTGCCCGTAAAATGCCAAGCACCGGGTTCACGAGAGGACATGTGGGATTGGCTGGAAACTCCTCCCAGTGAAACTGAATATATTTGATTCTTACCACAAGCTAGAGGCTATGAGAAGTAATGACAAGTGTTTTTAAGGTCCCCAGCAAGAACACCAATACATTCTGACCGCTGTCAGGCGGGGATGAACAAAGCTTTTGATAAAGGACACCTTGGGGGCCAAAACGGAGTCCTCAGGATGATAAGAGATTTTTGCACATCTATATGTGTTGTGATGCACAGCACAAGGGATAAGAATACAGAAACGACCTGGGAAATGGAATATATGAGGGATGGCTTTTAAAAATCTTTTGTGCTCTATACTGTTAAAACAGTGAGAAAAAGATCTACAAACTTGAATAAATATAGAAATAAATGGACAGAATAGGGTGATTATAAATAGATCTTCCAGATTATAGATCTTCTGCCATTACCGTATGTGCTGATTAAAATGTCCAGCCTGTTTGCATAATATAACATTCCCTAAAGTTAGTTGGTGTATTAAGTCGGTGTCTCACGTTCTGGAAATAACATTCAATTAATAAAGTACAAAAATATATATAGTACTATAAAACTACAAATCGACAAAATGCATCTGCAGTTAAACAGTATTATAGCACTTCCAAATCTGATGATTTGTGCTAAATTAGGAATAGGCTGAGATCTATTCTGAAGTTCAAACTGAAGTATTATATCTGAACCCTTGACCATGGCAGTTAACCCTATAGGTTGCCTCAAGAAGTCTCAGGTTAATATCAAATGACCTCATCCCAGCAAGGTTCAAAATGCGTGTCATTGCTAAAAACTGCCCAGCATAAATACTTTTTATGCCACCTGTCTTTGTAGTCGCTGTTTTTGTTTTGGTAATAATTCTAGGTTTTTATTACACTGCTATAGTTGATATAATCAACTTTGATTAGCCAATTATACTTTTGTATCCATGCTGAATAAAAGTATTAATTCCTTTAAAAAAATAATAATGGTAGTGTACATTGTTACAAAAGATTCATATTTTGAATAAATTATGTTCTTTTTTTAATATTTTATTCATCCAAGAATCCTGAAAAATATATATCACAGGTTCCAAAAAAAAAAAAAGTATATAT